CAATTTGATCTTTGCTGGCTTTGTGATCAAACATGTGGGTAGAGCAATGGTTTAGACCAGAGTGACCAAACCAATGGCCAGCAGCAGCATTTGAGCAAAGTCCAACCAACAAAAAATGTTATACATCATACATAATGTATGTCTTCAGATATATTTGTTAGTAACAAATTTAAATGAGATATAATTTTCCATTTACCAAAGAAATAAATTCCAATTCAAAATTATTAAATTAGTACAAATATGTGAATTTGAAAGTTGTTATTCAGTATTTTTTTAATTTAAACAATTTAAAATGTGAGCAAAAAAAAAAAAAAAACAAAAAAAAAAAACAGGGAGAAATTCAAGTTGGAACATATTTTTATGCTTACCAGAATAATTACTAAAAGCATAAAAAATAATGAGAATGTGAGTTGAGGAAGTTATTTACTTTTGTCAGGTTTCTAAATATATCCATTCTAAAAATTAAGTACATTAATATATGTAACAAAATTGTAATTATTTTTTTTTCGATATTAATTTAAATATACACTTGCATATACAAACATCACCTCATTCATATTTATAAGCTATACTATAAAGCACTTGCATATATATATGAGACAGAGAGTGGGGGGGCTCAGAAATCTGGATATATATGTATTTCTTTAATGAAATTTATTTTTATTTAAGGTTCAAGATTGCTTTTATAGTGGTGAAGCCTCATTTTAATTAAATAGTAGTGTGAACCATCACAAAGCAGGTTACTGGTCTAAAGATAAACTAAACTGGATGATGGAAATTCATTTTGAAATTGATCCCATTATCATGGCATATGCAGGACTATTTAGTAAAAGATTAATTAGGCCATGTTTTTTATTGTAATATAATAGGAAAATTACTTCTGTATGCTGATTTCAGAAAGATGGCATCTCAACTCAGTGGATTATCATAGTGAGGAATACATTTTTTTTGTAATAAAACTTTTCTAAACAGATCAGAAAAGCTTCAGTTAAATGGTCACCAGACTTAACACTGCCTGATTTTATTTTTCCTTTGAAATCACTGATCTATCAAAATTGGCCACAAACAATTGCTGCACTAAAGGGAGGTAATCATCTCTGTAGATAGATTAAGAAACTTTCAATTAAGCTTAATCTGCTACAAGGCAACACAAAGAGGAAATATGAGGTAAGATCGTGTTGTGCAATTCTTTCAAGTGGAGACAGTCAAGTACCAATCACTTGTGCTGATCAAAAAGCAAACTTTCACATATATATTCTGTTTAGTTCTAATCTCAACAAGTATATCAATATTTATTTTATCTAATGGTACATATATATATATATATATATATATATATATATATAAGGATGGGTATTGAAGCCAGTTTTAAAGATAAATTAACAAGCTACATAGGTAGAAATATGATTGATTTTAGTTTAAACCTCAGCTTTTCAAAAGACTTCAAATGAAGAGATTTAGTCAGTACATCTATAAACTTGCAAAATATGCATTACTTACATTCATAGTTCTATGTATGAAAACTATTTGATTTTCTTTCGTTATTTTTTCATTTGATAAATATCTTGGAAAATGCATTTTCTCAATACTTCTTTTTATAAAGAACACTAGAGATTATCACAAAATGAAATTCATTCCTGTCATATTGACCAGTCTAAAAGGAATAACCTTGATGTTGCTGCAAAAATCTAAGGACAGTAATTACATCATTCATTAAATTAGATTTTACTTGACTACATTAAAGAATATCATAAAAATTCAAGTTGAAAGTAAACATATAACAACTGCAGACATTATGGAATGTTGTTAATTTTTTGTTTGTGCAGAGAGCACAAGTCTGAAAATAAATTCCTAGTATTAAGGCTGCTTTTATTTATTATGAAGCTCAGTGCTTAGTTAAGAGTGAAAACCAGATAAATAGAATGAATATAGAGTTAGAATTTACAAAGAGAAGAAATTAAATGTTTTTAAAATGAGGTGACCATCACACGTAATAAATGAATGCTAACAAGCTTACAGAAAAAAAACGAAAACAATGGTTATTGGCCAACTTTGCTGAGTAAATTCTATCTCTTATCTGTTTTAAAAGGACAAATTCCTTTTTCTTTTTTCAATCACAATGCCAACTTCCTTTTCTGGGATAACTGAAAAAAAGAACTCTCCTGCAATATTGAAAACAATGGAAATAAAATAAATAGAAAATGTCAACAAGCAATTCCCTTTTTGAAAGTTTCATTTACTATGGAAAAAAAAAAAAAGTCTGTAGTGATGCCCACTGACTATATACAATTATCGCCATCAAAATTTAATCTCTTTCGTTTGAATTTATCACATAAAACAAGCAAATACTTTGTTAGAGCAGTGGTTCTCAATCTGTGCTCCTTCGACCCCTGAAAATTATGCCAGGGGCACATAAAAGAAAAGTAAAAATTTCAAGACATCAAATTTCATTCAGTAGGACTTGTCAGGCTTTGGGTTGCAGACGTAAAAACGAACACTCAAAAAATGAGCATTTGAAATAGAGAAATAAAAAAAAAATACTGTCAAAAGGCAAAACTGGAGCATCTCAAATCAGGTTTAGTGATCCTATTTTATATGCTATATTTATAGAGATTAACTTATGCAGTTGAACAAGTCTATGTTTATTAATTGTGAACCTAAATTTTAAACACTGAACTCTCAAGACCATGATCATTAAAAATTTGATCTTGCATATATGTCCAAGTGGTGTTTTGTTTAGCAGCTAGTTCAGATGAAAGTGAATATTAAGACTTCATTTCAAGCATTATGCACTCAGTACTAGTAAACATTCGATACTTCAATAAAATAAACATCTACACATAGTGAAATATACATATGTATTTATAGAGAAAGCAGACTTTGCAAATTAACTGACCTGTTCAAAATTTGGCCATCTTGTCAGAGCAAAAACTACTAACAAGGCTCTTTGTCAGTTTTTTTTTTCAAAACTTTTTTATACTTCAAAACTGTAGCACTTGTTTTACAGTATATTTTTTTGGAATTATTACTGTTTTCCTTGGACTAAAGTGGATTTAAAAATACTTTAATGTGTTCAAGCAATAGAGGACAGCCAAAATCTGAAATACAAACAAAACATAAGTTTTTTTAAGGCAAGTTTGTTAATCTTCATAGCTCAAGTGTTGAAATGTAAAATTTTCAATAAATATAAATTTAATCCAGTTCACTCATTTGACAGTATTATTTGTTTAAACAGTATTACTTTATAATATTGTATATTGATATAAAATCAAAATAATGAAATCAGATGAAAACTGATCCTGTCTTTAAAAAACATGGTAATTAGAATGAACAAAAAATTTTGTGAAACATTTTTCTAAACTGTTTACACAATGCTTAATATATTTCAGTTAGTGTCTAATTTTCAAGCAACATCAACACCTATGAGGGTCATGTAGCACCAAGAATCATTTCTTTTTTGCATTGATGAATATAAAACAAACAAGTTTGTCCTTTTTATATATTTCTTACAAACACCCATCCAAGCTAAAAAGAAAGAGACCCACTAGAAGTTTTTTTCTTAACATTTGCTAGCTTAGAATGATGTACTGCATAATGAAAAGAGTTGTTTCCACAAAGGTAAGTCAAATGTCCTGTTAATTTTAAAAATATTTCATGAGAAACATACTGGTTCTTAGACTATCTAAACATACTGGTTCTTACCTTCTAAGTAGAAAGAATTAAAATTCTTAAATTTAGGAATCCATGAGGAAACTAAGTGTTATCTTATTACCCTGTCTCACATTGTGAATACACCTAATTTAAAAGCTTTGATAACATTAATATAGTCTTTTCAGGGTCATAAAAATATTAAAACATTAATTTATATAATGAAATCAGAAAAACTGAGATTATGGTTTTAATATATAAAGGAGATATTCTCTCTTAGGAAATATGTTGAGTTTTATCTTTCAGAGAAATAGACACTGCTATTTTTAGTTTTCTATTTCAAAAATGCATCAGTGTGATATATTTCATAATTATTTTTATGACACTGGAAAAATGATTAATGTTTCCATAGAAATGGAATTATTTTTCAAATGCTATCAATATAAACAGTAAATAGCTAGCAGCCAGTTCAAACAATACAATTCAGTACAACCCAATATGCAAAAATGGATTTTTACCAAATCAACCACACTAAACCCATACAGGTACACATATATTATAACCATCAGATTGTAACAAAATAATTACTCTATACTTTCTAATATACTTTGATGTAAAAATGATTAATAAGAAATACAACGTTGGTAAAAAGTCATTAAAAATATACAATTAGTATATAGGTCTGGGTAAAAATTAAAAAAAAAAAAAAACAAATAAATTAGTTTAACCCATTGTACCAGGAAAATATTTAAAAGCACAAATTAACAAGATTTAAATAAATCTATTGACAGCTTCTAAAACACGTTAACTACTTCAGCTGAGTCCAGAAAATGTAATTCCTTTTCTTTTAGGTGATTTCTCAGATAAAATAGGCCAAATAAATGCGGGGTAAAAATTTGGGAACCACTGCACTAGAGACACAAATGAAAGGACCATGAAAAAATGTTTCTTTAATTAAAAAAAAAAAAAAAAAAAAAAAAAAAAAAAAAGGAAGGGAAATATCTACCATCTTGTAATTAATAATAAAAATGGCTTTGAAAAACGATTCAAAACTTTGAGATGTATTAATGGCATGACTAGTGGACATGATGCGATGTATTTTTAACAAGACGCTGATTCCACTCGGGTGTAAATGCTGTTGAAGCGACAGTACTGCTGCCAAGTGAAGAAAAGTGCTCTAAAACAAAGGTTTTATATAACCCATACGCATATGTATATTCTTTTATATATATATATATATATATATATATATATATGAATGAGCTATTGAAAGATTTTATTTCATCAAAAGCTTTTTTCTTTCATGTTTTTGTTTATAATTGTTTTATATAAGCACAGCCTAATTTGGGACATTAGCCTTCTTTGTATTTTTGAAAGGTATTTGTCACTTTCCCACCAGCGCCTCGCCTGCGCCGTCTTTTGCGGCTTGGTGGCAGCCAGTCGGCATCCGTGTGGTCTTCTTTAGCTCCATCGTCCTTCTCACTCTCTGAGAAAGCTGAACTGTTGTCAGAGTCAGAATCAGTAGAAGTGAATGAGTAGGCGTCTTGTGAGACGTCTTTGGGTTTGAGATCATTATTTGGTGCAACGGTCTCCACTTTCTTGCTGTCATAGTGATTCTTAAAATACTTTGTCACTACATTAGCGTCCTTTGAGTCTTTCCTCGCTTCTTCCTCCTCCTCCTCCTCCTCTTCCTCCTCCACCGCTTCCTCCTCCTTCTCTTCTTCTCCCACTGCTTCCACTGCCGCCTCTTCTCTTTCCACTACTTCTTCAGCAATTACCTCCTCCTCTTCCTCCTCCTCTTCTTCTTCCTCCTCCTCCTCTTTCTCCTCTTCCATATGCCCTCCCTCATCAACTATCTCCTCTTCCTCCTCCTCCTCCTCTTCGCCTTCCTGCTCTCCTCCTTCATCATCGTCATCTTCTTCCTCCTCCTCCTCCTCTTCCTCTTCTTCTTCTTCCTCTTCCTCCTCCTCTTCCTCGGCAGTGTCCTTGTCATTGTCATTGCTACCACTACTGTTATTCATAATGATACTGGCAGTCATGTTTGCTTTTGTTCCTCCACCTCCTCCCCCCTTTGCCATTCTTCTCCTTGCTCCCAGACTTTCCTGTCACAGAGCCATACTTTGAAGTGATGCGACGAGGTGCTGATTTGCGATGCTTCTTGCTGCCTTGAGCATCATCCTTTTCTCCAAATTTGTCAACACTCGAGTCTTTGTCTCCTTCAGAATCACGGCAACGTTCAGACAAAAAATTAACAGCATCTTCTTCCATACTTTCTGTTGTTTCATTCAGCCCGTGCTTCACTTTCTTGTGTCGATTCAGGTTACCTACAAAACAAAGAACAACAACACTCAATTCATAATTTCTACTACCTGGACATAATTAAGCCTCAATTATATATTCATTAATGACCAATGAGCAGCCACATACAATTTTTATCCCCATGTTCAAAAGGAACACTTTATGTCATAATGAATGGATGTATTTTTTTTCCATTGCTTCAAAAAAGTGATACGTTTTTTTTTAAAGGGAAGTGACAGTTCTTTTTTATTTATTCTTACACTATTGATTGTTTATTATATGACTATAAGTTTTATTATATTATTTTTTAAAATACACATTTGTTTATTTTTAAGTCATGGTATACATTGGTTGTTTTCTTTTTAAATTAAGTGCTATGTAGCAAGTTTACATTACAAATATTTAATACATTACCACTAAGAATTATTATATTGTTATGTACAATTAATACACTGTATACACTAAATTATTTATAGATTGGCATGAATAATCATATTTTAACATAACCTTTATTTTTATGAAAGAGAACTTGGGATTTGTTAGAAAAGATTTTTGAGTTATAATGTTTATTTTATTTTTGGCTAATGGTTTATGTAAAGGTAATATTCCCCTGATTATTTATCATTCAAACAGTTTTAATTACAAGGATAATAAAAATGGTCTTATATATATTTGAGAATTTTATATTTATTTATTTATTATCATTCTTTTCATATTTATTGATCTTTCTATTATTCACCATTTAAACAGAAATTATGATAATAGTAAGAACAAATGATGCATTTGATGAACTCTTTACTTGATGTCCAGTGTAAAATGTGTGTGTGGGTATATATATATATATATATATATATATATATATATATATATATATATATAACTTTTATTAATTTTAACTTAAAAATGATCTAATTTTATATTAATATTACTTTGATTTTAACTCCTAGGATAACCTTCAGAGAGATTTTAATTTAATAATCCCTCATTGGCCTGGATGAGTTCTAGAGCTTTTTCTGCAACCTTCCTTGAAATGGTGTCTTGATAAAAGTGCCCAGCCTACTGTGCTGTGTACAGGGTAATATGAGTAAATAGGTTCACCTATTGCTTAGCCAGTACTCCTCCCATGTTTATTGAACAGTGTTTAGGATATGGTTTACCAGTTCCTTTCTTCCATGGCTTAATGATTTAACTGTTTTAACTTTTGGGTGATCTGACTGATCAGTGGTTGTGACTTTTCATTATGAGCATACCAGGTTGACAGTTTTCTGGTTGCTGCATCAGACCGATAGTAAGGAGCCCAAATTTTTGGGAGCATTTACAAAGGCTGCTCAGATCAACAGTTGCATAATATTGGGCTATTTGCAGTACCATGTCATACAGTATTTATGTCTTAGTCTTAACCACCTTCTGGCCAGTATATATTACCATAGACAATGGATAGTGATAATTATTTTAGCCTTTTTCTCTTTGAGACAATCTTCTTATGACAGACACAATGAAAAGAAATACAAGTAAATCAGTAAACAAAAAATAACCTCCTCCCCTCAACCTTTCTTTCTCCAATATTCATGGTATTCATATCAATTTTTGTAGTGTAGAATCTTTTCTCTTAAAACATTCTCCAGATATCTTAGCACTTTGCAAAACTAATTTAAATTCTATTACTACTAATGATTTTTTTGTTCCAGGCAATCTCCCTTTTTGCAGAAAAGATTCTAGGATACATATGCTTGTTTTTGGTGCTTATATCTTCTGATGACAAGGAAATGGCTCTCTCTCTACATTAATCTCTCTTTTAATTTTCTAAGAGAACACTTTTTACTTTCCATCAACATGGCTGATATTAACCTTCAGAAGAGTAACTCATTGCTCCTTCTCAAGCTAACATTTTCTGCTGACATGAAATGAAAAGATTCATTTATTCAGTTAGCCCATTTTGTGCTGTTGTGGTCACCTCTCGCCTTGTATTTCTGTTGTAAATGTGGTTCAAGAAAAAATAGTGCAATCATTTGCTGATTCCTTTTGCATCAAAGATAATGAGGTTGACCGATGATCACTTAGCATAGATGGGTTGGGGAAAGGTGTTCCCCTTCACCAGTTGGGTCAAGAAACCATTCTGACTACCTTCATATGGTTTAGCTGACAGGGGTGTGACCATCATAATGCCCATATGACTTCTTGGTGTGAGAGTTGAATATAGGCTGTGGATCAGTACAGTTCCACATCACAATTAACCTGAGTGAAGTTGCAAAGGTACTAACACTGGCGGTACATCCATAAACACACATATTTTGCACTGGATGTTGTTGTTGTTAATAATAATAATAATAATAATAATAATAATAATAATTATTATTATTACTCTAAATGACAATAATAGAAACCAATCAATAAATAAGAAAAAAATAAAAGTATAAAATTATCATCAAATATATGAGATCATTTTTTTTTATTATTGCTGTTGTTAAAAACATTTGAAAGATAAATAATAGAGGAAGAAATTGACTATTCTGAACCAATAGTAAAAAAGTAAACAAAACAAAATAACATTATGACTCGAAATGCCTCCAAATTTGAAAATATGTCCACATCCATAAAAATGTTACACTGCAATTAATAAATAAGAAAAGGATAAAAGAATAAAATTATTAGAAAATGTTGTTAAAAATGTTTGAAAGATAAATGATAGGGAAAGAAAATCTACAATACTGAACCAATAGTCAAAGATAAACAAAAACATTACAACTTGAAATGCTTTTCATACAATTTCAAAAATTATGTCCTCTTTCATAAAAAGAGAAATGTTATGCTTAAATATAAAAAAGTAGAATTATTTGGGCCAATGCATAAGTAATGTAACAAATAGAATGTATTAAATGTTCTTAATATAATAATTCTTAGTGGTAATAGACATCCTTAATAAAGTAAACTTGCTAAATAACACTAATTTTAAAATAAAACAATCAATGTATACCTCAAACTATTTCAAAAAATAAGCAAATATGCATTTTAATAATTAAAGATTATAAATGCATAATAATATAATAAAAATTATAATATAATAAACAAAAAAAGAAGAAATGGATAATTAAAATAATCAAGATTTCTCTTTTAAAATATGACATTGCTTTCTTTGAGCAATGAAAAAACACATCCATACACTCTGACATCAGCATTTCTTGAATCTATTTTTTTACCCATTTATAAGTCTACCATTGAATATTACTGCCACATCTGATCTGGTGCTTTTGCTATGTATTTAGAGGTTCTTGATAAAATAAAAAGAATCTGTAATGTTATTTGTCCTGACCTGGCATCTCAACTAGTCATTTTCCCACCACCACAACATATCAATCCTGTACATTTTCTATAAATACTTTCATGATAATTATTCTGATGAACTTTCCTCTATGATACCTAGACTTTATAAATTTAAGTGTAACAGTAGATTAGCAGCAAGGTCCCATCATTTTACAATTGAAATGGCTGCTAGATGTAACTGTAAGTTCTATGCTAATAGTTTATTCTATAGTACTCTCTCCAGCTTCTTTTTTTCTCATATTCTCTCACATTCAGTAACTCCCTGTGCCTTAGTTAAATAATTAAAGTTAATTACATTAAGAAAATAAAATGTAAAAATTAGCTAAATTTAAATTAAAAAGTTAATTATCATCCATAATTACAACACAATTTAATCAATTACATCTAAGAAGGATTTATGGTCTAAATGAAGCAGACTTTCCTTGAAGTCAGTTGATATTTATGAGATGCTACCAAAATGATGAGAGAATTTCAACAACATACATATAACAAACATTATTTGCTATTATCTTGGGGGGGACAAATCCATTATAAACCATTTGAATTTAACAATAACCAGTTTTTTATCTGAACACAACATAAATAATGATGTTAGCTCAACAATTGAATTCAAATCATTCAACAGTTCACCATTATCAACAACTTGAAAAAGTGCCTAAACTTGGAAAATGGGTTCCTCAAGCTTAAGAAGAAACTAACCATAAAGTAAGAAAGGATAGCTAATCTTCTGCAAATTCTTTTTGAAAAATAGATATTTTACAAAAATATAATGTAACACAGACAATGTTTTAGTGGAGCAGAACACAACCTTAACTGGACTGCCAGCCAGGGAAAGTTTTGTAAATTATTTAATGAAATAATATTGGTGGAGTCTACGTTTGAGTTGCTATCTATCAGTTGATATTAAAATTGCAGCAAGCATCTATTATCAACAGAATATTTATGCATTGAAGGAAAACAGGCCAAGTATGATCAACTGCAAAAATGTGGTGTTACAATAATACACAGTCACATACAATAAAGTTTGCACTAAAAAAGATTAATGGCCTTGCCTGGGATAAAATTTGATACCCACTTTTTTCTTCAGATTTTGCTCCATCTGCTTACTACCTATTCCAGAATTTACAGAATCATTTTGAGGGACAAATTCTTAAAATACATGAACAGTAAAAACTACCTGTTCTACCTTCTTTTCCATCAAACCAAATAAAAACAAAAAGGTATTATAAGGAATTATAAAGAATTGTTGAAAGGAGATTATTGATAATGATGAAAGCTACATTAATGAATAAATTCCAATCAAGCAATTTTTTTATAATTGTTCCTGATCCTGGATTCAGACATTATTTATGGGATGAACTGATATAAAACATATATTAAGTTAATGCAAAAGGAACTCCCACATCACTATCATTAAAAACTTTAAAACTGAGGTAAAATATTAACATATTTTTAATAATTATTTCAAATAAAGTTTAAAAGTAATAAACAAAATTAAAATTTGAAAAACATTTTGCACATGACAAACTTTGATAAAAAATTATCTATTCATAATACAGTAGCAATAATGAGATTCAAGTATCCTAAAATTTAAATTGTTCTCATGTCCTGACCTGCCAGGAGAAAGTTAATAACTGCTAGATTAGCCTGAAATTGTGTGAAATAGAGGTGTTGAATTCCTTATTTAGTACTGTCGCAAAATTCG